CTTCGAATACTCCTTTACCCATAAGTAGTTACTACACACTTATCATCATTTGCTATTTACATCCACATAGCAAATGCAATTTAGAGCTTAGAGAGTGGAAGAGACTGCGAAGCGATTTCATTTAGCGATAGATGAACAAGTGATAAACACCAGTGTGATAATATGCAAAGTGTTGTTCAGGGAGCCACTAAATCAAGAATACCACTCCTTTCTGACATTTCGCCGGAGCTTTTACGTTTTAATCATCCAATTGCCGAGAAGGAGGTATTTTGTCTTCATTTTTCATACCATTCCTCAATCACTTTCCTAATCCGCTGGGTGCTTTGTCATGAATAGTAAAGATTCACAGTAAATAAAGAACTGAAACATAAATCCTTAGAAGTCATTTCGCGTTTGATTATTTGTGCGCATTGCGTGACCACTTGAAGGATCCTCATGAGGATCTGCGACAGGTGAGCATGACCAAATATCCTAGCGTGCCTTTGTCACGTGTGTCAATACGTTCCCTCCTACTGTTGATACTGCATGCCTCGGTCATGGTGCTTTATCAGTGACAGTATCACCAAAAGGTTCGGCCGATGATCTTACGAAAATGGAATGGTAATATCTATAAAGCGATCGTCAGTTAAAATTACGCCACTGTTTAGTGTACTGAACGTACTTAGCCCGTAAAGAAACTCTTCTCACGTGAAAGCTGGTTGTTTTTTCTGCGTATTATCGATCGCAGTCGCGCATGGTCGATTTTCGATTATTTAACAGAGTTCGCTCGTTGAAAGCCGTCGAGGTAACTTATGATTAACCGGTCGAGGCGGGACGTGAGGACACTAAGCCGTGGGCGTTTGTGTCCAAAAAACAAAAATCAATAATGATACTTAAACAAGGACGTCGTAAGGTAGAAATGTCCGAAGTCTGACGCACTTCACCGTGAAACCTTTGTTTTCTAGTGTGAGGAAGCAGTGGCAATATCGATCTAGAAGAAGGGCCCAGTTGGTGATTCGTTGTTATGTAAATGTTTTCTACAACTGGTCGGTCACGCTGCTGATTGTCAGGTGATAAGGGGAGGTAAAACTATGAACGAACTGAAGAAGATCACAGGTGAATGGTCGCTTTTCTTTGAATGTCCGCTGTACCCTTCTGAGTCCATTCGTTGTTTTCCCATTTTATCCTTCATGCCCTTGTGTCCGACGGCACGTACACCGTGTATCATTTCCGATTGGTGGATTTCATCGTTTCCTTGAGGTCCCGAGAAGCCAAGCGGTCCTCCCACCTCTCCGACGATAGCCGGATGACGGACTGACCGACGCGGCACTTCCGCTTAATGCGCAGGTATACCTGGTCGTCTCGTAACAGCGTTTATTGCAGAACTTGTGACAGACGCCGGTGACGAGTGTCTCGACGATTCGATTGTCAGTCAATCGGACCTCATCGTCGGTTGTCATTGTCATTATGTTTGTCATCATCACTCTACACATCGTTTGCTGTCTATTTTAGTTTCGCTAACCTCCCCCTTGGATGAATCACGGAGGCAAAGCGTAACTGCAGCCGCCAAAGCTTGCAAAGCTTCCAAAGCTGCCGTCGTCACCCCGTCGAAACCAAGGAGGTTCGACTGTTCGACGACGACCAAACCCACTTCGTCTCCGTCAGTTCACTGTTCCCCGAAGCCGACTCCGAGACCGAGGATCCGCTTTCGGGACAAGGACAAGCAGCGACAGAGTAGCATACAGAAAGACAGTCTGGAAATGGACGGCGTCCTGGTGGTCGACGATTCGACCGCCACCCCTGTCGCTGGTCAGAAACTGGACTACAGCGGATTGGTACGTATTTTGACATGAGCGACCAGCGCGGAGGGGAGGCTGCGCATATTTTGCCTTTTTGAAAAGAGGAGGGTTCCTCCTTGTGCCGATTATCACACAGGGACAGTCAATTATCAGATGGCTCAAGGCGAAGTGCAGCCACAGGAGGTGCTTGCCTTGGACTGCATGATCATATAACTCGCCCATTTTGATATCATTCTGTACCTCTTCGCCAGACAACATTTTGCTACTAGTTTTTTCCGTACGTAGCACCGAGCAATGTCTGGCAAGTTCCTTGCTCCAGAGGAATTAGCGGTTAAGCCAAAATCTCTTCTTTCTCTGGACTCAAACCTGGCACCGCTGGAGTTGGAAGCCGACTGACTTTTTTATCAGTGCCACATGAGAAAAACGTTTGATGTAGGAGCCACATGAGTTTTGCATATCTAATTTATATACATATTTTGTATGTTTATTGCTAAATCGTCAAGTTATTGCTGCTTGCATTTCTTTATATTCTCGACACCAGCAGTCTTAATGGCTAGCCCTATATTAATAATTTCCGATGCGAAGAAAGCATTCCTCACAATGCATTAAGCAATTTCTTCTTCGACAATGAATATACATTAAGCTCTGCCATGCCTTTTAAATTGTTCTCTTCTTCCGCACATCGTTAAATTTCCTATTAGGGGCAAGTTCTTCGCAGGTCTGTTGTCTGTCCTCTGAGCAATTTTATGGACAAACCGGAAGCACCACTTTATGTTCATTAACGATCGTTCTCACCCCCTGAACGTCCTCCTCTGAGAATGTGATCTTTCATTGCTCTACAGTATTACCGGACGTCGAGGAGGTTTAGAAGAAAGAGCTTTGCTGGAGGCCGTTCAACTGATCATTGTGTTACCTACAAATCTTTACCCTTTCACCCAACATATGCACTCTCCCTACTTTGCCGTGTTCTCACTTTTTGATAATTGGGGTTCTCCTCTGAGGCACAAATGTCAAGAACGGATTGTAGAGGGCATTTTTACATTTTACGTATGTTTTAATAATCATGTCCTAATCGCCACAAAATTCTTCCCGTTAAAACTCTTGTCCACGCTGTTCCTTGCGCACTGTGTTTTCATTCTGCCATCAGTCAACCGGCCGGATTTTTTTTATTGTTTTTTCATAATCTTCTTTAGCCGCCTTGCTCTTGGAACCCAATATAATATTCAGTTTTGATTGAGCAACAGTATGTCCTTCCTGTAATGTACCCAGCTGATTGCTATACCTATTCGTTAGTCGTGCTATTTCATCCTTTCCAACATGCGTCTTTGCAGCCTGCACTGCGCAAGCAGGTTTGAAGCTTATAACCGATGGTTCGCATTCGTGCATCAGCACATCAGTACTGTACCATGTACTGTATGGATCGTCATGCTTACATTGTTACTCTTGTTCGACACTTGATTGTTATAAGCTGTTTCCTAGATGAACGTAGTTGTTATTTTTCAGGAAAATCATCTTCAACGCCTTGCTCTGTCGTGCTTCATATCTCATACTCCGAAGAAGCAC